CTACGGAGTATCGCCTACTTACAGTTACAAGGTGTGCTGTGGCGTGAGGGGGCTCCACCAGGCAGACAGCACCATCACAATCTGTTGGGACAAAAGAGCAAAAGGACATGAAAGAGAAATAAATACTTGTATGAATAGGCTTGATAGGCCTCGGAATATTACACTTTATAAAGGCACTTGTGTCTTGGGGGGTGGGCTCAGAGGATGAGCTCCCTCCAGGGATTCCTTCAGCCACTGGCCTCCATTAGAGGTGGTGGTGCTGGACCACCACCTGTTTTATGGGCATCTGCCTTCTTTCTGTTGGCTGAGTAGAAGTCTGTGTCAGGCTTCATTATTTAACAGAACATGATACAGATGAGAAGACATGTATGTGTGGAAACAGCATTACGTTGGGGATAAAACAGTCAAACAGCCGCTTAATATTTACTTTACAATGTGAAACATGATCAGAATGAGGAACCTCCATGAGATGATGCCGAGGTCTCACCTGTTTGAACAGTGTGTTTATATTTCATCTTCAGCTGCTGCCAAGTGAGCTTCTCCCCCGCGGGATTGCACCTAAATGAGATCAATTAATAGGAAACTATTCAAGCAGTTTCCCTGGAATCAGAATCAGAACCAGAATCAGAATCAGGTTTATTGCCAGGTATAGTTCACACAATATGAGGAATTTGTTCTGGTGGGTTGCTGCAACAGAACAACAATAAATACACAGTAAACAATAAACATGCAGTAAAATAAAGTGACTAAAAATAAAAACTAACTGTAATAGTGCAAGAATCAAAGTAAGATTTAAATCAGAACCATAGAACGGTGTTGTTGTTTACAGGAGTATTGAGGGCGCTGATATGTTGTTATTTACATTTATACAGATATAGAGGGGGCAGGGGGGGCAGTGGGGGTCCTGGGCATTGTTCATGAGGCTGGTGGCAGACGGAAAGAAACTGTTCTTGTGGCGTGAGGTTCTGGTTCTGATGGACTGAAGCCTCCTGTCAGAGGGGAGTGACTGGAAGAGTTTGTGTCCAGGGTGGGAGGGGTCGGCCACAATCGGACCTGCACGCCTCAGAGTCCTGGAGAGAAGGCAGATTGCAGCCAATCACCTTCTGGGCCGAGCGGATGATACGCTGCAGTCTGGCCTCGTCCTTGGCCGTCGCTGTAGCTACCAGATGGTGATGGAGGAGGTGAGGATGGACTCCATGATGGAGCTGTAGAAGAGCTCCATCATCTTCGTTGGCAGCCGCAGGAAGTCCATCCTCTGTTGGGCTTCCTTGATGAGAGAGCTGATGTTCAGCTCCCACTTGAGGTCCTGGGTGATGATGGTGCCCAGGAAGCAGAAAGACTCCACAGG